TATGATTTTTACGCTTGTTGTGGCCGGTTGGGAAGGGGTAGTGCGTGATTCTAGAATATTATCAGAAGCATTAACCGATCTACATGTATCATTCCCGTTTCTACCACTAGGTAAGCTTTTAGTTTTTTAAATATTTTTATCATAGTTTGAAAATGGATTAGTGTTTTGCATTTTTACAGAGAAATATTATATTTGCGATGCCCCATATACACACACTCGGGGATTTATGGCACCGTATTATAATGTGAGGTATTGACATGGATATTTTCGTCAAAGATGTGCATTAACCAATAAAGACAATTTTAACCATGGACATGCAAAACTTCGAAACGTCATTGAGCGTGCTTTTGGTGTTTTGAAAGCACGATTCCCTATATTGAAGATGATGTCACCATTCCCGTTTGTTACACAAAGAAACATTATCATGACATGTTTCACACTTCATAATTTTATAAGGAAAGAATGATTGAGTGATGAGTATTTCTCACGATACGATGAACCCAATGTCTCGTTTCGAAATAACAATGTGCCAGCTGAAGATGATGAAGACGAGGTTCCAAAACATGGTACTGCAGCAGATCGTGAATATATGACTCGGTTACGAGATGAAATTGTTGAACAATTGATACAAAATATTGAATGAATTATTTTAAATGAAATTGTTATTGTAAAACAAATTATTTTATTGTATGACTAATTTGGTTGCATGAATTTTATTTTAATGTTGTACGACTATTATTATTAGAATTATTCGGTGTTGAAAAACCATTTTAAGCATGTAAAGTCAGTTTATTTAAAATTCAATTCATTTCAGCATCCTACAGACGTTAAAAAAACATACTTCTTATTGCAGACTACAAACGTTTTGTCCACCTCTTCTACTATAGAGACTTGCAGATGTGGTCCGCAGACTACAAACATGTTGGCTTTAGAAAAAACAAACAACGCCTTACTGCTCACAAAAACTTTTGTTTTAATATAGAAAAATCTATAGAAAAATCCCAAACTTCTGGGAAAAGTTTCAAAAAAATTATAATTTTTTTTAATAGAAAAATCTCATTATTTTGAAAAAAATCATATAATTTGTCATTTGTTGTTCAAATATAAAAAATGATTTTTTCGTTAATTTAGGCAAAAGGTTAAATAATTGGGACTTTTCTATTAAAAAAACTTTTAGAACTTTATTAAAAAATTTCTCAAAATAATGAGATATTTCTGTATTAATCCCTTGTAATATGTGTAATAATATATTATTATTTTAATATTTTATATAATCAATTTATTTATTAAGTTAATTGCTTTTATACTTTTATTTAGAAAACAAAACTTTTGCATTGTCTTTCTATGGATAAACCAACAAAATAATTAAACATAAACAAAACTTATTTATGTTCGTTTGTTTAACCGAATAAGCAGGGCCGGAACACGAACACTAGAACTAAGGGGGCCGGAGGCCAAATTCAAAATTATATAAACAAATTTTATGTGGTTCAAAATTATGACATATCAAAAATCTAAATACCGAAGGGTTTCTAACTTAGCGGTATCAGCCTATCAAGTGGTATCCTTCTTTCTTGAATTCAAGGATTCAAGTTCAGAAAACAAATATAAAAACAAGTTTTTTCAAAGTAGAAAAGAAGGGAGTTCGTAAAAACTTATATTCTATTTTCTTTCGTAACATTTTTTTAAAGAAGCTTATTTCTAAAAATGACCACTACTTTATTTTTTAGTCATACTAACTTACCTCCCGTTGATATTAGGGATTATTTTAGTGGTTCCTATTTACACTTTACAACTAAATAAACAAATAACAAGTATTAAGCATCTAGATATTTCAAACGCCAAAATTGATTTATACTGTATACGATAAAGTAATAAATAAAAAGTAAATTGTTTAATTCAATAAGGTAGCAGGTAAAGGTGGCAAAAATTGACACGACACGAAACCCGATACGAAATAAACGGGTTTGGGTAAGATATTTCAACTCGTTTAAATAAATGGGTTGACATGACATGACACGGAAATTAAACGGGTAAGGTTAGGGTTGAGAATTTCAACTCGAATATGACTCGAAAATGACCCGTTTATTTATATGCATGTTTTTTGAATTATTTAAATAAACTAGAAAGATACAAAACCAAAACCATAAGTAAAAGAAAACCTTCGAATTGAGTCGTTTTGTAATGTTGAAATGACTTAGCCGTCTAGATCAAGACTTAATTTCAGTTTTTCCATTCTCTCTCCAAACTACCCAGTCTCTTTCACCACTCTCACATCCTCCTGACCTTTTCATCCGCCTCCCCAACTCCCACTCTTTTAATTTTGTCATCTAAACATGCTATGACTTCATCTATTCTGCCTCCAAACTATTAGTTTTTCCTTTCCGCCTACCCAACTCCTACTCTTTTAACATGCTCAATCTTTTAACCTCACATGACACAACATATTTTAAAGTATAGCCCTAACCCGAAACCCGACACGAACTCGACACGAAAATAAACGGGTTGACACGACACGACACGTTAATTAAATGGGTCGGGTTAGGGTCAAGCACTTTCAACCCGTTTAGTGTTTCGACATGACACGAACCCGACACGACACGACACGATTGCCACCTCTAGTAGCAGGTGTCAGCTTTACAAGGTATATAGTCTCTTTATAAAGCTATAGGATAGGATTAATCATAATTTTCTTCTCTTTTTTATGCCTTATAACCGAGAAAAATAATAGAGATAGAAAGAAAAGGAGACAAAGAGGCTACCAACAATGGGACTTTAGAAAAATTGGCTCCGACGATCGGCGAAGTGGATAGAGAGAGCAAACAGGTATGGATGGGACGAACAATCCGGTGATCGGAAATCATATCAAGGCGCCAACAATGTAGCGGATGAAATTATTCTTCAAGTGAGCTACAAGAGTCTTCCCCGACGATCAGAATAAAATTTTGGCTTTACATTTATAATTTTCTTGACTTCAAAGTTAAATCATTGTAAAATTGATTGGATTGGATCTTTGGATTTTTATAGATTTTATAAGTATATAGTTGCCTTATTTACATATTCCTAAAAAATAGAAGGTTAGTTTTGATTTGTTATTCTGTTTAATGATTTCCGAAACCTTTGTCATTGTTTATTCATTGTTTTAGTTAGTAACAAATTGCATAAATTAGATGTATTCCGTGCACAAAAGATCTGAAAAACTGGGGGACTAATTTGACATTCTGGCAATATTCATACGTAGATGTATTAGGAGCTTATAAAAAAAAAAAGGGGGGTCCGCCACTACGAATAAGTTATCTTGTATATGTTTTTTGTTTATGTTTATTAAAATTGGAAACAAACATAAACATATATAGATATGATAAGTAAATATATGCGTTCGTATGTTGCATACACATAAATAAAAATAATTAGACCATAACGAACATAAATAAATATAGTTATAAACATAAATGAACAAATGTAATCGTATTTCAATAAAGGAAAACTACAAAAAAATTCTTACATATTAGCCTCATAATCGATTTAATTATTATATTTTTTTTATTCAATTAAATATTAAACACCGATAATCGTATTCAAATCAACCATTTTACACGGTTAACATGTCATCTAACTTTTAAAATTATATTTTTGATCCAGATTTCAAATTTTATTACAAATTTAGTAAAAAATTTAACCTTTTGCTTTATATTTTAAATGTTATTACAAATTTGTTCAAAAATTTACCTTTTTGACCTAGATTTTCGAATTTTGTTATGAATTCGTCATAACTTTAGTTTTTTACAACTTTTTTTCTAAAAAAAAATTTGAATATGTTTTTTCATAAAAAAATCATATTAAACAAAAAAAAAAACATATGTTCACATAAAAATCTTCTATTTTCTATAAAAAAAACTTTTAAAAAAATTTGTATACGAAATACCTATTTTTAAAATTAGGTATTTATTAAATACATAAATATATACAAATTTGCTTTAATAAAAAAAATGTATACAAACACATATTTTACAAATATATATATATATATATATATATATATAAACACATATTATAAAACAATATATACAAACACGTATTTCATCGTAAACATGAGTGTATGTCTATATATATATATATATATATATATATATATATATATATATATATATATATAAACACTTATTTGTATAAATATGATTTCATTAAGAAAAAATATATTTGAAATTTCTTTTTTGAGAAAAAATGTTGTAAAAAAAACTAAAGTTATGATGAATTTATAATAAAATTCTGAAATTTAGCCAAAATGGTAAATTTTGGACAAATTTTGTTATAAAATTCAAAATCTGGACCAAAAGTATAAATTTTAGACCAAATTTATAAAAAAAAAATCTGAGCTATAATTGTAATTTTTAAATGTTTGATGACTTGTTAAACGAGTAAAAAGGTTAAATTGAATACAATTATTTGTTTTGAAATTAATTGAATAAAAAAATATATAAAAACTAAATCGATTATGAACTCAATACGTAAATTTTTTTTACAGTTAGCCTTTCAATAAACAAAAATCATCTTATATATTAAATATCATTTTATTTTTGTTCCTACAAATCCTATTATCCAATTAAAAAACGATATGTTATTTAATGCAATTTAATAATATTTTAATATATTAGTATGAAATATGTAATTTGAATAAATTTAATTGGATAAGAGAATTTATATGAACTAAGTACGATTATATTTTATTTTTCTTTTATTTTAGTTAACAAAATAAATAAATTTTTTTTTAGTCTGAAGTTCAAAAGAATGGTTGAATACTTGAATGTTGGGTCTTTTGTAGAGCGTCCGTACAATTATGCATATCTATGTATATTTATTGATTAGAAATAAAGGATAATAAAGTTACGCAGAGAAATATTATTTTTTATATGACCAAAGAACAAAGTGGAGGAAACTTTTGCAGTAAAAACAAAATTAAAACGTGTAAACGATTATAATACAAAAACTTAAGTGTCCAGGTTCATCCTCCCAACTCCGCTTTATATTCCTACTATTATGATTCCATTGACATAGCCTGGACTGGGACTGAATCAAAAATCAACCTTTGTCTCCCCTTGCAATCGGCAATAAAGGAGGGACAACAGGAAAACAATGGCGGCCATGGCTTCCTTTATCATCAAGACACCAATCCAGTCTAACAACCCTTTCCCCAAAACCCACCGAATCAATTTCCCTATTGTCTCCCCTGTCTCCTACTCCTCCTACAAAAAGAAACCGATTCCAAAGTCGATTCGTATCTCTTGCGGTTTGATTGAACCAGATGGAGGCAAGCTCGTTGAGCTTGTCGTTCCCGAATCCCAGAGAGATGTTAAGAAGCGGGAAGCCATGTCTTTGCCCAAAATCAAGCTCTCCAGGATCGATCTGGAATGGGTCCATGTGCTCAGCGAAGGCTGGGCTAGTCCGTTAACCGGGTTCATGAGAGAATCCGAGTTCCTCCAAACTCTTCATTTTAACTCGCTCCGATTAGGAGACGGGTCAATCGTCAATATGTCCTTGCCAATCGTCCTGGACATTGACGATTCTCAAAAGAATCGGATTTCCGGTTCCACATCTGTTGCCCTCATTGACTCTTCTGATAACCCGATTGCTATTTTGAACAAGTAAGATGCTTTTCTACATTCATTATTGATTTATTTCATTTTGTTATTAATCCAGCGATCTCTCCAACTTTACAACTACCACTGAACATCTTTATGATGATAATCTGCGTAAAAATAGACGAAAAAAGTTAGTACTTTATCTCCTTCGAACATGTAAACACTAATTTTATAGTTATCGGCTACGAAAAGGTTTAGTCTTTATCTGTTGGGCATTATTCCAGAATCAATAATCATGAATCCGAGGTATATTGATGATTCACAAGGGACCTTCTGGTATCCTCTTTACCAGAAAAGGAGATAAATCTCAAAAAGTGATGTATCTCTCAACTTGAAAAGACAAAAGAATGAAAGATTGCACATCACAACCTGCATAAATAGGGTTAAGAAAACTGAAAACGTATTTGGATATAACTTCAAACATCTAATTGTGTGTTAAGCACTAAACTTCCACCTTAAATCATATTCGATTATCAAAGATTGTTTACCATTTCATGCTTAATTATGATATCATATCCGTTAGTTAATAACAAGTATCAACTTTCTGATGCTTTATGTATTAATCAATTAGTATTGAGATCTACAAGCACAACAAAGAAGAAAGAATAGCAAGAACATGGGGAACCACTGCCCCTGGTCTCCCATATGTTGAAGAAGCCATAACAGGCGCAGGAGATTGGCTGATTGGTGGTGATCTTGAAGTCATTCAGCCAATCAAATACAATGATGGTCTTGACAAATACAGACTTTCCCCTTCTGAACTTCGGGCGGAATTCACCAAACGGAATGCTGATGCCGTCTTTGCTTTCCAGCTCAGGAATCCAGTTCACAATGGTCATGCTCTTTTGATGACTGACACAAGGCGAAGGCTTCTTGAAATGGGATATAAGAATCCTGTTCTTTTGCTTCATCCACTTGGGGGATTCACTAAGGCAGATGATGTTCCACTTAGCTGGCGTATGAAGCAACATGAGAAGGTCAGCAAAATTTTATTATAGTTTTTGTGTACTACAATTATGAGTATACATTTATATGATTGTGTAACTTTTTTTTTTTAATGATATGAATATGATTAGGTGCTTGAAGATGGTGTTCTTGATCCAGAAAACACAGTTGTGTCGATATTTCCATCTCCAATGCACTATGCGGGGCCCACTGAGGTGCAGTGGCATGCCAAGGCTCGGATCAATGCAGGTGCTGACTTTTACATAGTGGGCCGTGATCCAGCTGGCATGAGTCATCCAGTTGAGAAAAGGGATTTATATGATGCTGATCATGGAAAGAAAGTACTTAGCATGGCACCTGGACTTGAACGCCTAAACATTCTTCCTTTCAAGGTACTTACTCACATTGAAATTTCAACATAACATAACATCATCAATTCCTCGTGTTCCCAGGAAGGAATGGAATGGTTCATTCCATTCCATCCAACCAAAGAAACCCTTTTGGTTTGATTATCATTCTCTCACTCAATCATGGAAATATATATATTAATTACAGGTGGCAGCTTATGACAAGACAAAGCAGAAAATGGAATTCTTTGATCCCTCCAGACCTCAAGATTTCCTCTTCATCTCGGGTACCAAGGTATGTAACTATGTATTAAGTATAATCTTTCTGTGAGAAGGGCATTTGTGTCTTTTGCACAAATGAGAGTTGGATATATGTGTGGCCTAATGGACAATTTTACCCTTTACAGATGAGAGCACTTGCAAAGAACAAAGAAAACCCTCCAGATGGATTTATGTGCCCTGGTGGTTGGGAAGTGTTGGTTGATTACTATGATAGTTTGGCTGCAAATGACTCTGGTAGGGTCCCTGAACCCATTCCTGCTTGAGCCATTGACCATGTGACACACACACACACACACAGAAGGGTGAAAACTCCATGAACCAGATTAGAATTCATGTGTTTGTTTCAGGTTCAAGGCTATGTTTGTTCATAATTGTGTGGATTGTTTTGTTTTAGAAATAAGTTGAGGCACTGCTGTAGTGATATAACTCTGCCTCCATGTAAAAATTCATGTGCTGTTCTGGTGCACATTGTAACATATTTATTTATGCTTTTGACACATGAAATATACTGGTTGGGTTTGGGATTCATTTTCTTATTCCATTAAAGCTTTTCCATCTTCATCTTTAAAAAAGTTTTAATCCATTCATATTCTAACTTGACATAAGGGTTGAAACACTTTACCTTTGCTTCCTTCCATTGGTAAAAGTGATTTCTCCTAATTAACAAATGTTCTGAGATATATTATATGTTTTTGTTGATCCTTTGTTCTTGTCATGTGCTTTGAATATCCATTATTGAATGAATGCATTTCTGCTTTTTAGCTTTGTTGATAGGTATTGATTCATCTCCTTTAAAGGCAATGACTTTATATTTCTTTCAAGTGTTCAACTTTAACTTAGTGATTCCTCCACTTCAGATTGTGATATTTTTGTTTTTTAATATTAGTTCGAACTAGTTAGAATGTTTGGTGATGCAACTTCAGATTTGAGAACTTGTGGACATCTACTACAATAGTGGGATGTTTCCATCTTGTTAGAATGTTTTTTTTTTGGTGATTTCTCCATTTATTGAGTTTATCAATGCTTAATTGCTTATAGGTTATACCAATGGGGTGAACCATATTTCTCTAAAAAAATTCTCTAGGTGTCATGGATGTGGGGAGTTCTTTTTACACCGATGTAGTTGGTTTATGCTGTGAGACCACTGAATATGGGCTTGGATGATCATTCTCCATATGTCCTTTAAAGTGAGATTCCCCATGTGGGGTTGTATATACTTACCAACTCTTTATGGGAGGATGTTGGAAATTGTGGAAAAAAGAGGTTAAGGGATGTTGCTACTGATGCCTATAATGCAATTGAAGGACAAAAACATAATGCAATTGAAGGACAAAAACATGTGAAGCTTGGTTAAAGTGCAAGGAAGCAAACATTTCTCAAGATTTTATAAGCAATTTGTTGGACAAAAACGTGTGAAGCTTGGTTAAAGTGCAATGGACCTCCCACTATATCACTGCCTCAATCTTGGTAGGATAGATTAGAATCTCGTTTTGATTAATGAGGTGTCCCAAAAACTAGACCTTTCATAATCAGAATTCACACTAGGAGAAAGCCTCTCCTGTCTCAGTACTCCAAGTAGCTCCCTAAGATGCTCCTTATGATGCTCCCTGGTCTTGGAGTATACTAGAATATCATCAATGAAAACAATGACCGACCGATCAAGTATTGGTCTGCATACCCAGTTCATCAAATCCATGAATGTTGTCAGTACGTTGGTGAGCCCAAACAACATCACCATGAACTCGTAATGACCATAACGAGTTCAGAACGTTGTCTTCTCCGTGTCCTTTCCGACTCTCATCTGGTGGTAACCACTGTTTTGAAAACCGGACCGGACCGACCGGTTCAACCGGTCCAACCGGGAACCGGTAGGGTCACCGGTTTTTTAAGGCCTAAAAACCGTTTGCAAATGAACCGGCTAAAACCCGCGGTTCAACCAAAAACCGGTTTGGTCGAACCGGATAAAACCGGAACTTTAGAAAAATAAAAAAAATTATATAATGTCACTTCAAAGCCAAAACTTCAAAAACTGACAAAGAGACCCACTGTTTTCAATTGTGAGATCTAGGCCTGATAACCAATGCCTATCATTCCTTTTATACAACTCCTAAGGCCTCGCGCTTTTGTTTTTAAACGATGTGAGAACTGGGAATTGGGATATAGCCATCAACATTCATTTTCTCCCTTATGTGATACAATCTAATATTTTTGATTTTTTCATTGCTTAGAGACATACGAACAAAGATTATAAGAAATGGATGTTTAATCTTAAAAGTGCAAAAGATTATAAGAAACGATGTTTAATCTTAAAAGTTCAAAAGCGTAACATATTATATTATATTATATTATATTATATTATATATATATATATATATATATATATATATATATATATATATATATATATATATACGCACACACACACACAGTTTTTCCGGTTTTCGGGACCGGTCCGACCGGTCAGACCAGTTGAACCATTGAACCTTTAAGGCTGCCGGTTCGATGTCCGGTCCGGTTTTCAAAACCTGGGTGGTAACCCAACTCAGATCAATCTTGAAGAACTAAGATGCACCCTGCAACTGATCGAAGAGATTATCGATCCTATGGAGTGGGTAATGATTCTTCACCGTCAACTTGTTCAACTCTTGATAAGTTATGTACATATGATGAGACCCATCCATCTTCATCACAAACATAATTGATGTTCCCCACGGTGAATTGCTCAGTCTAATATATTGCTTGCCCAACAACTCCTAAAGATGAATGGACAACTCCTGCATCTCTGGGGGTACTAGGTGATACGACACCATAGAAATTGAGGCCGCACCGGGGATTAGATTAATCCTTAACTCCACCTGCCTCATGGGAGGTACACCAGGTAAATCCTTCGAAAATACATTTGGAAACTCTGTGATTATTCCCTCGTCTTGAGTGTCGACCATGCAAACAAGATAACCCAAACACCCATGTCGAAGATATTGTCAAACCAACCCTGGTACCCTCGCCATAAATGGTCAGTTCTCCCCGACTTGGGGTTCAAACTACCACCAATTGCCTCTCACAATCGATCATGGCTCAAAATTTGCTCAACCAGTCCATCCCTACAATCACACAAACATCCTCCATAGGGATGGGAATTAAGTCAATCGAGTAAGACACCCCGAATATCTCCAAAGTACAATATTGAAAAACACTCAAAGCAGAAACTTTGTGTTCGTTGGTGATGGAAACTCGCAACGAACACTCCAACTCCCTAAGGGTCATATCGAAATCCCTACTAAAGGAAATAACCGACTCACACCCGAGTTGAAAATCACAAGAGCACGCAAAGAGTTCACTAAGAAGGTACATATCATAAATACAAGCATAAGAATACATGAAATAACTAAACATAATAATAAATGAATACATACCAGTAACAACATCATGTATCACCCTAGCCTTCACTGATGTGAGCTAAAAAGCATAACCCCTGGCCTTTGGGGCCTCAACCCTCCCTGGCCTCCATCCGTAATTCTCAAGGTAGTCGGAGCTGGTGCGTGTATTGGCCTAGGAACAAGAAATTGACAATTGGCCTTCACATGGCCAACCTAATCACAATGGTAGAAAATCCTGGTGCTTGGCAGTGGGGTCTGCTGACGACAATCCCTCACAATGGCCATCCCTGCCACATTTATGGCTCCCAGTTGTTGATCGACACACTCTATCATACATCTTCCAATACTTACCAAAAGTACCCCCTATGTAGCCTCTAGATTGTGAATCGGCAGGCTGGAACTATTTTCCTGTCGGGTGAGTCTGAACTGGAGCCTACCTCCTCTCTCTAGTCTGGGTCTCAATCTTAATCTCTCCCCTCCGAGAAAAATACAATAGATATGAGAGAGAATGGTACTGTTGAGTCGACACAAACTCCCTGATCTCAGTCTTGAGCATGATCAACTAACAGGATATCTGAACCTGCTCCGAAGCAGCATACTCGAGGCAGAAAAGGTCTCTCTCAGTAAAGATCTTGGTGATCTCCGCTACCGACTCTGTCGTCAGCTTTAGTGTCAGATACTCCTGAGCTAACCTCTTCCTCTCACCCAGGGGAACATACTCGGCGCGAAACATATCACTAAACTGCTCCCAAGTGACTACGACTTTCTCCACAGGAGAATAAGCACTGGTTACCAGTTTCCACCGGTCCTTCGCCCCTAGATGAAGAAGGTTCACGACGAACTTGGCCTTTTGGTCTTCTGGGCACGAGTATGTGAAGAAACAACCCTCCACATCTGATATCCACCTCATGGTCACAATCGGGTCCTTAACCCCGTCGAACTCCAAGGGCTTCCTGTTGTTAAAATCCCGATAATACATCATCCCCTTCCCTTGGAGTCTTGCAACAACAACTATAGTGGCTATGACAGTAGCAGCCTATGAGACGACATCATAGCGCTCGTTAAACATCTCGAGCACGGTGGTATTAATAGACCCAAATACTTCCGAGATCGCCTCCCTAATAGCCATGGTCACCTAGGTGGTGATTATCTCACGAATCTCATCATTAGTCAAAATTGGCCTCTCCGAGCCGCCCGTTCCTAATCCAATACCTCTAGTGATCGTCATACTGAAAAACAAATTGAATACATTAGAAAGCCACAAATCACACTATTACATCATTACGAGATCACTTAATCTTTGGGGTTCGTGACGTCCTTGATACGCGTACGGGTCCTGTGCTTCCAATAGTACTGGCCCATACTACCTTCCACACCTACTTGTATTTGTCTTAGAGGATCGTCACGGACCACCCGACCATAAAAGCCCAATAACTAGGATACACATACATCCTATACTAACTTTTTTATAGTGGCTAATCATTCCTCGAGCTGGCCTTCTACAAACCATACTCACTCATGAAACTTCCACTAACCTTGCAGCCTCTCGGGTATGTTAATCATACATAACACTCGATTCGATAGACATTCAAATAATTGATTCTACCCTAAGCCCACAACCAGACATGGAATAGGAAATAAGTCTAAATCAAACATTCTCAGGCTATAAAATCTTAGTTATGTACAACTTATGATGCACACATCGAGAAACCATAATAATAATGTTTGTTCCATATATCATATCAAGAAATTTTCCTAGGCTATCAGGCATCAAAAATCATACAATCCTATCATGTAATTCCTAAAGATCCCTAGCCTACAAACTAACATGAAGTTTTATCATATCATCAATACACAGAACAAGTGTGAGTATCTTGGGGATTACTTTCCTTGGCTTTGGTTGATTGTACACATCACATCCTCTCTGTCAGTCCTTTTAGAGTTAACTTTGAAAAATATTTTGCAGATCATTAGTTTGAGTTTGGAATCACACAAGTGTTCATTAAACTCTCTCAAA